GTTCCAGACACACGGACTCTCTGAAGGTCACCTTGGTCATCCCTGCCCAGGCTCCTGTGTTCATTCAGAGTTCATTCAGGGACAGAGCGCTGAAATTCTGGCCAACAGACTGGATAACATCAGCGCTGGCCAATCGCAAAATCATATGTTCATCGTGAGCTAATGTTTGGATCGGTCAAATGCAGATTATGTTGTCCTTTTCCAGACATCATGAGCTCATAGAGGACATCTTAATTTTGCAATGTGTCTTCATATTTGGCCTTAACAGCAGGGAAATCTGAACACTGTGTATGCATCTAAAGGACAGTAATAATTTCCTCATAAATGAAGTTTGCTGCAGTTTCTGATCAGGACTGTGAGAAACTTATTTTAGGCTAAAAATACGCACAAAAGCATCATAAAAGTCTTGTAGAAGACTTTAGAAGCCGTGCAATATCTTTTATGTAAGAAGCAAACATAGATCGCTGGGTTATTTCTGGATAATAACTGAAAATATATTTTAGGGAGCTGCTAATGTGGGCCCTGGTAATGATTTCAATTTCAGTTGCCATTTTAGCATAAAACGAAAACATCTGCAAAGGTGTGACACTCAAAGTTCAGAGGAAAGAGGGAAAGTTTTGTTCAGATTTCAGGTCAAACAGTTGTAAGATCTACAACAAGCTTCTTTTTGGGTTTGTGACATCACCAACAGTAAATATAAAAAGCCCAGCCCCATACTGTATGTGACGTTTCATTCAATGTATACAAGGTGGACAGCCAATCAGAGCCAGCAAAGTGTTATTGGGATGACTAAACAGAAGGTATAGAATAAAGGTACAATCTGTTAAAAAATATACAATTGAAATAGGCATGATCATGTTGATGTGCACCCCGTAAATGCAATTAAAGCCTTAGAAATAATTGATTGTGCACCCCTTTAACCAGATCAACTTGAATCATTCACATTTATGAATAAATCATAAATAATCAATCAAATTGATCTGGGCTAACTGATTCAGTGGAATGACTGAAAAGAAAGAGTAATTTACAATATGAGTATATACACAATATATATGTGTATTTACTTAAAGCAACGGTGTGTAACTTTTATTTTAATTCTTCATAAGCCCATTTTAGTCAGATAATTCCTGCTTTCAAATCCACTGAAATGGCAGGTGAACGTCAAATCAAGCAGATCTGTGCTGTGTCTGAAGAAAAGGTGGACACTCAGCTTTCTAAAGATAAAAAAAACTTAAAAATAGGTTGAAACTGATCTCCATATAAAAACTAAATTGTCTTTTTATTTGTTTAACTGCTACAATATTATATTTATTTTTTTATAAGCAGCTTTTTGGTTTTGAGTATAAAGAAGGATTTGTTTTATTTGCTGCTAAGCAGAAACCCCGGAAGTATAGCTCTATCATTGTTTAAAGTAAAAGAAAAAAACAGGATCATACTTTTATGATGTTAGTTTTAATACATAAAAAAATGAAATCAGAGAAATCCTCTATCTTTTTTCTTTTTTTTTGCTGTATCGAAAACGTACCAAACCGTGGCACCACTGTATCGTATTAAACCGAACCGTGATTTTTGTGAATCGTTACACCCCTAATATATATATATATATATATATATATATATATATATATATACAATTCTGTTTAACGGAGGGAACATTTTATTCAACACATTTCTAATCATAATAATTTTAAACGACTTATTTCTAGTAACTGATTTATTTTATCTTTGTCATGATGACAGCAAATAATATTTTACTAGAAATTTTTCAAGATAGCCTAATAGCTTACAGCTTAAAGTGACATTTAAAGGTTTAACTAGATAATGGTTTGTTCTGTATACTATCAAAAAAATATAGCTCAAAGGTGCTAATCATTTTGACCTTAAAATGTTTTTTTTTTTAATTAAAAACTTTTATTCTTGCTGAAATACAACAAATTATCCAGAAGAAAAAATATTATCAGACATACTGTGAAAATGTCCTTGCTCTGTCAATCGTCATTTGAGAAATATTTAGAAAAGAACAGAAATTCAAAAGGGGGCTAATAATTCTGACTTCAACTGTATATATAAATTATAATGCTTTTATGTTGTTTCCAAATTCCATTTTACGCTTGGACGTCTCTGTAACATCTGTCTTTAACAGTCACCTCTAGCCAGGACATGTGTTGTCATGTTGAAGGATTGGAGACCAGACACAGAATAAATATCATCACACATGTGCTCAGAAAGTCGAACTTTTCAGCAGTGTCCCTGTCAGAGTATTTTGAAAAACTGAAATGAACTCTGAGACTCGCAGCACGAGTCCTCCACCCGGGATGTGATGTGAGGGATAGCAAATTGTTTCTAGCATTCAAAGTGAGTATTGCAGTTAAGCTGCTGAGCGAAGCTGTTGAAGGAACTACTTTAGAATGTGTTTTTAAGGCCTTGAAGTAAAACAAAAATGAAAAGAAAAGCAAAAAATTGCATGTGGAGGTGTGAATTGAAAGTCTTACACAGACGTTTCAGTATAGCCACGTATAGAGATGTGATCTGCAGTAATGCATTTTCTATTAGGTTATGGCATCATTTGGCCTCCACCTTCTCCTTGAATTGACTCTGCTATGAATTTGAAAGCTGTAGGATGGTTTCTGCTCTTATATCTAGAGTATATCTGCAGCCTGGACTGCTTATTCTGTCCACAATGTTCTTCTTCATAACATAGAGGGATCTTCAGGAGTGCAGATCTGACAGGAGTGCAGAAACACTTGTCTTCTTTTTGCAGCTGCACTGATGGTAGTCCACTGATAGTGAGTTCTTTTTTTTTTTTCTTTGCTTTTCAGCCAGTGTTGGTCCGCTATCAAACATCTTTAGCTGCCCACATATCTTCCCATCATGCACGCTACCACAGTGCTTGACTGCAAAGCACACCACAGCACTGTTGTTTCGTGCATGGCCTTGCGCAAAGCTATATTAAAATTGTATAATAGAAATTAATCAATGCATGGACACTATGCATAAATACAAAGATGCATAAATAAATCTACAAAATAAACAGATTTTTTAAACCTCAAAAACAAAAAAAAGCTAAACTATACATTAATTAAGTCATTATGGGTTGATAGCACAGAATGTTACACTCTGCACCTTTTTACCAGTTCATTTTCAAAGTTTTATAGTCATTTGTGACTACATAATTAGAAGGTCATTATAAATTTTGATGTTTTATCCTATAATTATATTAGATTTTATTATATTTATGATATTAATATTATTATTATTATTATTTTCATTTAAACCTAACCAATTAGTTACATTTAAATAATACTCTGCAATGACAATATATCATAATAATTGTTTATTCATGTATGCAAGGTCTACAACATGCAAATAACTTGAGACATTTAATTTATTTATAATAACAATAATAAAAATAATAATAAAAATAATCTAACGTTCATTTGTTTTTATTTTGGCTTTGTTCCTTTTATTAATCAGGTGTTGCCACAGTGGAATGAACCACCAACTCATCCAGCATGTGTTTTATGCAGCAGATGCCCTTCCAGTCACAACCCAACACTGGGAAACACCCATACAATTTGCATTCACACACATACACTACAGCCAATTTTAGCTTATTCGATTCACCTATAGCGAATGTCTTTGGACTATGGGGGAAACCGGAGCACCCGGAGGAAACCCATGCCTAGGGAAAACAAGTAAACTCTACAAAGAAATGCCAACTGACCCAGTCGGTGCTTGAACCAGCAACCTTCTTGCTGAGGCGACATTTCCACCCACTACGCCCCAAATAATCTGACAAAAATGATAATATTTATGCTTGTACTTCTGCGCTTTCAAGTGTTAAAAACTATAGAGGTTTTCTTTTGCGGAATCTTTTATACACAGGGGAATTTTTCTCTTTTGTTAACATCAGATTTTCAGACGAATTTCATTACAAATGTTTTTTTTTCTTAAATTGTAATGTTTTATGTGTTAATATGAAAAGAGTTTAAATGACATGTTTATGAAACTTCACGTTTGCTCGGGTACACTACAGTCTTGTGTACTGTACCAACACATTTTTTTACTGCATTTGTTTCAGATTGATTGATAATTTTAGGCCCTGTGTGTGTGGTGAAAAAAGAGGATGCTTTTCATTTAACCTCAGTGAAGGATTTGTCAGACTGATTGAGCCATGTGTACGTTCGTTTTTGTGTGCACCTTGTGTGGAAGAGTAAATTGAAAGAAGCTTTTGCTTGCCATGATTTTGCAGTACAGCAGAACACAGCGGTAATAGAAAATTTATTAGAGCAGCATGCAGCATATATCAGTCAGTGCAGAGTGTTTCTCATATCTCAGTCTAGTGCTGGAGCTTTCTGTCTTTTCTTTTACCTTGCAAGACGTATAATGGAAATGTCACGCTAAGATTTTGCCTCTTTGATAACCAGTACTGTAATGTTTACTTGTTCCCATACAAATCGCATATTAGCACCAGTGGTGTAAAGTAACAAATTACAAACACTCGAATTACTGTGATTGAGTAGGTTTTCACATGAATTGTAACTTACTAAGTAGTTTTAAAAATGTGTACATCCTGAGTACATTTTAGTGCAGTATTGGTACTTTTAAAGGACAGCATATATATATATATATATAAATGCTGTCCTTTAAAAGTACCAATACTGCACTAAAATGTACTCAGGATTTGATATGATATTATTATTATTATTATTTTCATTTTAACCTAACCAATTAGTTATGTATATAAGTATATATACATTTTTAATAACATGTGCCTTATATAAATATAATGCACCCTCAAATATTAAAATGTTTAAATACTGAATGAATGTATGTCTAAAACCAAATATTTTAAATACTTGTTCCATTTTGTTATGTTTCTCTGCTTTGTGTAGTATTGGCGCCCTCTAGTGTGTACTAACATTAATGCCTCCCTTTTTTAAATAAAAAGAATGGTACTGTATATTTACTATCATTTTCCTCTCTCTTTGTGTCCTCAGGATAGTAAAGAGCCACCGGACAGCAGACTGAGTGAGTCTTTCACCTCTTCAGGTTGTACACTGGGGGTGGACCTGCGGCGACGACGGCGGCGGTTTTCTGGTAACTTACAGTTGCCTCCTTTATCATGGAGGCAGATGGAGAGGTCTCGCAGTCCAGATGACGAATTCATGGCAAGACCAACTACCCTGCCCTTCATCACACCCCCGCGCATTGATATCACGCCTGTGGACACCGAGTGGTGAGTCTCTCTTAGTCTGATTGCAAATCTGATTTTACTTTAAAACTATGAGTAGTGTGTGAAATGTTTGACGATAAGGAATTATTTCTGTTCTCTGAAGTTTAAATATTTTTGTGTTTGAGCTGAAATGTTTGGTGGACTTGTTAAAAAAAAATCATTAAACTTTGAAATCAGTCACACTTTAAGGTTCCATTAGTTCATGAATGTTCTAACATGAACTAATTATGATCAATACTTGTACAGCATTAACATTTACTTATGCATTAATAACATTCAAGCTCATGCTTGTTAACATTAGATAATTCACTGCAAGTTAGCATGAACAACTGTATTATTAGTAGCTAACATTAACTAACATGAGCACATACTGTAATAAATGTTTTGTACATTGTTTTACATGTTTGTAGGTACAACAACAAAAATGAACTAATGCTGCTATTTACTGTAAAAGGGTATTTTAAAAATTAGTTTGTAGAATATTTTAGCTATTTTAATATTATGCAGGGTTATATAGAATATTTGCATTACTGTTAAAAAATTTGTGGAATTTGGGGGTTTGTATGTTTCGGAGAGAAGTCTCTTAATCCCAACATTGTTGCATTTATTTTTTTTAAACAATACTGTAGGACAAAAAAAAAATAAATAAATAAATACAACATTAGTTAGTCTATCTATCTATCTGTCTGTCTGTCTGTCTCTGTCTGTCTGTCTGTCTGTCTGTCTGTCTGTCTGTCTGTCTGTCTGTCTGTCTGTCTGTCTATCTATCTATCTATCTATCTATCTATTCAACTATTTATTTATTTATTAAAGTTAGTTAGTTAGTTTGTTAGTTAGTCACATTTTTATAGCAAAGCTAAATTTTACTCCAGACTTAGTTCTCACAAGACCTCACAAGAAATGTTCATTACAATATTCTTATTTTGTGCTCAAAAGGTTTATTTTTATCATTGTTGAAAACAGTTCCCCTGCTTAATATATTTTGGAGACTGATAGATTTAGCTTTTTTAGATTTTTGCAAAAGCATTTATTTGAAATGAAAATATTTTGTATAACTGTAAATGTCATAATTCTGACTTTTGATCAATTTAATGCATTTTTTCAGATTAAGTGTATCTATTTTGTTGGTTAAAAATAAATGTAATTAAATAAAATAAAAATAACAATAAAAAATTTTAATAAAAAAATGTAATAGACTTATATACAGTAAACTTTATATAAGCTTTTTAATAGATCATGCAGGGTGCCCTGTCTAAATACATATACATACATAATATAATATTTGTTTATGTATGTATGTTCAATACATGCATACATGGATATGTACTTGCATTAGCAACATTGCGTCTTCATTGTCCTTTGTTCAAGTTTATGGGTAAAGTGTTTCTGTTGGCTCATTTTTGATCTTGTTGTTTGGCTGTCTTTCTTTTTCTTTATGGTTTGGAAGTAATGTTAACCTTTTAAAATGACCTGGAAGGAAAGTAATATCGAACATTTTGAGTATGTGGAAATTTTTTGTGTTAATTTATATGTATGATTCCATTACTAATTATGATTTTGAATATGCATCGTGGAGAATGTACATGTCTCTGACAAGAAAGAAGCATTATTATAAGATCTGGTAGATGTTAAGCTTCATTTGAACAGGGATTGTTTGGTTCCTCAATTTCATTTTGCAAAGTGATGCAGTCTTTTAGTTTTACCCTATCATTTTTACCCTGTCATTTATTGTTATAATCAGTGTAGTTGACTTCTATGTTGATAATTAAGACATACCATAGAAATGTAATGCATTAAAATATATTTACAGGGCAGACATAAACACTGTTGATGAAGCAAACGTTTGAGAAAGCAACTTAAAGAAAATATTATTATGATGGTTAGTCAACTGATTTTAATTATGTAGGTTCATAAACAGCAAAAAAAAAAAAACCTATATCCTCCTGAGACCCAAAGAAAAATGTTTGTTTTTTTGTGATTTCCTACGTCCTTTGGGTTGAAAAAGTCTACAATTTAGAGTTGTTACATTTTGTTGTTATTTTTAATTTTACAGCATGTCCATTGTAGTGGACCACAGGACCATTTTAGTTCGAAAAGACTGCCACTCAGACAACAAAACTTTACAGGATATGGTTGTAAAGGGATAATAATCCAATATTAATTTAACAAAAACAAAACAAAAACCATTTTTTTCCTTTTGTATTGACATTCCTGAAACAGTTTAGTATAAAAGAGAGCCAAAAAAAGTGATGTTAATCCAAAACAAATTTAAAATAATAGCAATTTAAAACTGATTGTCATTCTGTAATTGTCTCTAATTGTCTGATTGTCAGACTCTTAATCAAAGTCTCCTTCAACTATTTTATAAAGAATCCTCTCTGCTTCAGTTCTGCCCCCTAAAACATACAGTCATTAATTACATTAAGATGGTCCTGGTGTCCATAGTGAACATTTAAAAAAGGATGATATTTTGAAACACAAGCAAGTTAACAGCTTTGAAAGCTAAATGTATTATTCCTGACACTTGAATAAACAAATATTTAATAATAATAGCACAAAAAAATAAAAAATAATAATTGAAAAGCTACATTTTACATGGCTCTCTCCTTCCCATAAAGTGTCCTTTTTTGTATGTTGGCCATTTTGGATGCAGTGTAAGAAGTGGTTCCTAGCATGCCAGCCAATCAAATGACATATCACTAGAAAGCCCAGGATGTCCTCTGAACAGTACAACAGGACTTGACAGAGTAGCTCAAACAATTTAAAGATAATTCATGAAAACACAATGTCCACTACAGAGGACACAAGTCAATGGGCGGGGTCTCAGACGGATATACTGTAGTAATGCAAATTTTTTTTTTTGAATTAAAAACCATAATATTAACAGACAATTCAAAACTATTTTAATATATAATATGCAGTATAAATAATTATAATCCATATAATACAAATAAATTATAAAAACTCAAGTGTTTGAGTTAACTCCAAATTAAATCATTTAACACAAAGTATTTTTGAGCAAATAAGATGCATTTAGACTGCGAGTTTCATATTGCATTAGATATACAGTATGTCTCATGGTTCTCGCAGCTGATTGGTCCTGTTTGGGTTTGTGATCTCTAACTCAGAAAAGTGCTGCTCCAAATCATGGTTAGCCAGTGTGTAAGATGGCAAATGATGAAACACAATCAAGACCAACCAACCTTCTTGTGCCTGAAAACACAATCTGCTGTAAACATCTACTTACCTGGCTTAAAACCCAAACCATAGTACAACAGGCCTCTATAGGCTATAACTTCAATCTTTGTTTTGTTCACTTAATTTAGTCTTTTTAACATCTTGATCGTTGAATGAATTATTGCAGACTCGTTTATCTGTTTCTCTGACTGAAATCAAGATATCATTTATATTTTTTTAAAATTATTCCTTGGCTCCATGACAGGTATGGAAACTTGTCTAACAAAGCAAACAGCAGCAGGTCTTGTGAGTGATCAGTTGCACTAGTATTACAAATATTTTTTTCTCTCTTTTTTTAGCCAGTGAAGCGTGAATGTTGACTCTTCTGGTTTGTAACCGGTTGTTTGTTGTACAACCCTTAACAAGAGAAAATATCACCTTTGTAGGGAATAAGTGTTTAAATGTGGCTCTCATGATTCAGGTTTGTTTAGTGCTGTACAATATTCTTCAACAACGTTTAGTTGTAAATTACATGAACAGAATAGAATGGAGAGTTACGGTAGAAGCATCTGGAAATCTGAAAACTACTTCAAATTTTGACCTTTTTATTTTATGGCAAAAAGTATTAAGTATAGGAATATATTCCATAAAAAACATTTAGTACATTTTCAGCTTATAATATATTAAAACTTAATTATCTCTAGTTATATGCATTCATTCATTAATTTTCTTTTCGGCTTAGTCCCTTTATTAATCCTGGGTCACCACAGCGGAATGAACCGCCAACTTATCCAGCACATTTTTACTTAGCGGATGCACTTCCAGCCACAACCCATCTCTGGGAAACATCCATACACACTCATTCACACTCACACACTACAGGCAATTTAGCTCACTCAATTCACCTGTACCACAAGTCGTTGGACTGTTGGGGAAACCAAAGCACCCGGAGGAAACTCACACGAATTCAGGGAGGAGATGCAAACGCCAAACAGAAACGCCAACTGACCCAGCCGAGGCTCGAACAATCAGATTTTTTGAACCCTCAGATTTTAGATATTTAAATAGTTAAAATCTCAGACAAATATTGTCTTATCCTGACAAACTTTACATCAACTGAAAGCTTATGTAATCAGCTGTATATGATGTATAAATCTCAATTTCTAAAAAACTGACCCATATGCTGGTTTTGTGGACCAAGGCCACAGATATTGTACTGATCATTAAATCATTGGAAATCTCCTTAATCTTGTTAGATAATGTTCTTAACATCTGACATATGCTTTACATAAAGCCTAAAATTATGTAAATCCCAAATTGCTGCACAAGTAGATGAAGTATATTAGTTTTGCTTGCAGCTCAGGTGATTTTAGCCACAGCTGCTTATATTATTGCCATGAGGAGAGGAAAAAAATGGTTATGGTTGGCACCACAGCAACAGCGTATTCATAATCTTCAATCAGTCATGCATCTCTCAATTTGAGGAATAAAACAATCGTTCATCATTTAAATTGGTCTGTAATATAGTTTTAAACTGCAATATATTTTGATGTGCACAACTTTACCAATAAGACCATAATCATATGTTTGTAGATATTTAAAAACAAATTTTGTGGTTAACTCCAGATCCCATATGGTTGTTGTTTTTGATTTCACCTACTTCATCTTTATTCTAGTTGATGTTGTTTGCCAGTAGATGGCAGCAGAGAGTAAACTACATCCTGACTCCTGTTCTCAGGTGTTTGCGTGTGCGTGTTTGAGACACCTCTGGTTGAGTAAAGCTCATGAGCATTCATCAGTCTGCCCCCCAAAAACACTCCAGATCCACATTTGTCATACAATATATCAAAGTAGGCCATTTGGTTCGTTGCCTCTTTCAAATGGATAGCAAAATGAGGCTAAACTGGATGTTTGGTTATACCGAGCGTTTATTTAAAGGAATAGTTCACCCAGAAACAAAAGAGGTGAATGATCTAAATTTCGGT